AATCAAGGCCCTGGCATATTAAGACAGGAAAGCATATATAGTATAGATAGCAGTCTCTGAAAAGGAGACCAGAAATAGAACTCGCTGCCGACGAACTGTGTTACATAATGAATAGTAAACACTTGCATTCTGTATAAGAACCTGGTATAATGCATCATTTGCAATGCACAATAACGCATCCTCTTGCATCCACTATCTGATACAAAGTAACTATTGTCTCAACTGTCATGTATACTCCATGAAATTGTATGATAACATCTTACGTATGATCGTGCCATCAAAAAACGAGCCGTACCTCATAAATACGAATTAATTCAACAAATATTCGATACAGTGCTTCTGTCAGCTGCAGTCCTAACAAATTTCTCGTCTTTTTTTATACATAAATATATATATATATATATATATATATATATATATATATATATATATTGAAAATAAGTGTACTGTGGAAGTGAATTTCTACAATATACGCTTATGTTGCAAGATATGGATAATGGTATTTTAGCAAATACGCAGATAAAATGTTAATATCTTTAAATACATGCATGTGGCAAAAAGACAGGAATGACTAACATGATAATGCACGCTAATGGACACGCGCATTAATGGCACATACACGTTCTGAACCTATTTCATCACGTAATTTTAGAATGTGAAAAAGAGAAAAAACAAACTTTCCTTTTCTTAATCGAGCAAGTTCTATAAAATTATATTACAAGCTCCGTCAACGTTGTGAGACTTACGGTAATCAAATCAAATTGCATGAGTTCTAATGCAACTATAAATGTCCTAGCTCATGTATATCACACAAAGCGAGACACGCACATGCACACAGGTCCATTAAACTATCTATTATCTTTAACTTTGTCATCCTATATAATTGAGCAAATTGCTTCGTCCAAAGCGAGAGAAAACGCCAGTAAGCGACGTTCGTGAGCGGTGGCGTTATTGAATCGTATATCTGCAAACAATGATTCCACGAGACAAACGTCGCCTATCTGCGCGTCTATTTACGGCAGATATAAATTGAGGCGAGATAAAACGTCCGTTTGCCAAGCGGTTCCAGGAAGGCATCGAGGAAAAGTCGCGCGGCGACGGCGACGTTTTTCCTGGTGCTCACGAACAGAACGCCGGGGGAAGGGGGAATTCCACGGGCCGTCGCGTCGCATCGCATTGCTTCTCGTCGCGTCGCGCGGACGCGGGTCTCACGTCCGCGCGACGGCTCCCGATCGGGAGCGCGCCGCCCGCCGGCGGCGAGGAGGTTATGTAAAAGGATCGCCGGAGGGTAGAAACGTGTGGTGTGATGCGGCGCGGCGCGGCGCGGGGCCGCCTGTCAGTACCTTGACACTGTCAAACGGATACATGACGCAGTGCTCCATGATCCCAGCGACGGCGCCGGCCGTCATGTGCACGGCCACGGAGTTGGTCGGCAGGCTCTCGTAGTCGTCCATATTCATGGTCCACGGGGGAGAGGCTGTTGCTCGCGCGTTAGCTCGTGAGTGAGCCTCGAGTCCGCCGCCACGATGTCGCGCAATCTATCCTTTCTCTCTCTCTCTCTCTCTTTTTTTCCTCTTTCCTTTTCTCTCTCTCTCTCTTTCTCTCTGCGACACTCTCCGTCTGTCTCGCGTGCTGGCCGACAACACGTATTGCGTTTACCGATTCGATGCTCGACTTGCTCGAGCAGCCCGAATATCGGCTATCGGCGGCGGCGAGAAAACGGCCACACGGCGTTCCGCGGAATCGCGTCGCGAGAAACAAACTGCACACGGACGGATCGCGGCGGGACGGGCGCCCAGGTTACACGCGCTCCGACATGTGACCGCGTGCGTCGATCGTTTCTTAATGGGGCTGCATCGGGGAGCCGCGAGAAGGCTCGGGGGCTCCCCGTTTCCTGTCCCCGCCACTCCCGCGTACGGGGACTACGGGGAGTAACGAGTAACCCCTTCCCACCTGCCCGTCCGCGACCGTACTCGTTCGTTCGTTCGTTTGATCGACACTATCGACAGGCCGCGACTCGTCGCGTGCATCGGCACACGGCACGCGCGAGGATCGAGCCGCGAAACGGCCGAAATAACGCGCGACACACACGAGGCCCACGGGGCAACGAGTCCGATCGCGGGGCGAGGACGGCGGCGCGAGCACGCGAGGTTAGGTCCGGGCGCACGTGCCGCGCATGCGTCGTGCGCGACCACGTGGTCCGCGTGTGCCCCGTCCTGTCCGCGCTTCGAAATGCTCCTTCCTCCTTCCTCGGGATGGGCGTTTGAGCGCACGGAATACCGAGTGAATTTGCACATCCTATGCGACGCCGCGCCGGCACGACGATGATAACGATAGTAATTTCCCGAATGAGGGAGGGAAGAGAGGGGAGAGAGAGAGACGGCGGTGCACGGCGGCAAGTCATCGTGAATACGCGTCATGCACGGCGCATTCCCGCTTCCCGCCCACACGATACCTTCCGCGCCTCGCGATCCTCGTATACTCGCCGAGTGGCCGAGTCTCGGGTTTCTCGCCGCGAATTCGTTTTTGTTTCGGCTGCACTTTCTCCACCGCGGTGACTTGCCGAAACTTTCGCGTGCAAATACGAAAACCACTTGTTATTGAATCCATCCAGGAATCTCGAGACAATTCGTGCAATCGCGTCAGTTTGAGTGATGCGTGATGCGCGGTCCTCAACTCCATCGTGAAAAAGAATGACACTTTGAAGCTTAAATTTCTTCGATGCGCCGAATTAGCGGCGGAAAGCGTTTTTTAAATTTGATTTTCTATTATAAAAAAACAGATTTTAATTTTTTTCAACTAAATGAACGTCGATCGGATATTATAATTGGCAACTAAGAAATAATAAATTATCCGAAAGGCGTAGAATGTAGAGAGTGCAGCTAAGCGAAGACCGTTCCGGGAAAATTTTACGCAACCTTCCACGCATACACGTTCGCCTGCGTATTATTGAATGCATAAAAAAGCGAGCGCGTTAAAGTCCCTCGGCGTTTCTGAAATCGAGGCTCTCATGTAATGCAAAACGAACGCGGCGGGCCACGCAGCGTGCCCTGTGCCGGATTATCGCGATTGACCATCGAGGGAATGAAATTTGGCTGCCAGGAGCGAACGAGAGAAGGACTTGCGCCACGTTGCGCCACAGGAAATGCACTCTCGCCGGTTACGTAAATTATATTTTATCGGATGACGTAAATGCGCCGGTATCGCGATTTTTTTACCTCTCTCTCTCTCTCTTTCTCATTTCTCTCTCTTTTTTCAACATGGACGCGTCGCTTTATGACCGGTCTCCGGCAAAAAAATTAAATCGATTCCATGTATAGCGCCCATCGCGAGGTTTATTTCTGACAAACCATCAAAGACCAACAAGCAATTTTTTATTTTTTTACTCAAGATTTTATTTATTTTAATTTGAAAAACATAGTTTGTAAATAAAATATTTCAGATTGGTATTTTTTTAGGTAATTGGAGTGAAAAGTTCTCTCGGATCGCGACGACTGTCGTCTTGGCGAATAAATCTCAAATAAATTAGCGAAACTTCGAAATATCGTGAAAATATGTCCGATGAACAGCAGCTCGTTTCAATCGAGGATTCAAAAGCGAAACTTTCTTTTATTTTATCTACAATTGGGAACAATTAAATTAAGAAATTGGCCTCATTATTCAGCCGTTTATTATCAAATATAGATAATAAGGTATATATCAGATCTCTATCAGATCTTGGAGTATCGAGATGCGATCAACGCGTTATTACAGACGCGTCGCGTCGTATTATCGATATTTTCACCTCGCCTCGCGAACATATATCTTTCTCGCGCCGGCCGATGCGCGCAACGTGCGATAACGCTGTTTTTCCTCGTCTATTGTTCGAAACACAATTCGCGGAGACAATGGTCGGTGTTATACGAATGCGCTTCGAAGAAATCGTAAATATATATATCGCGAACATCGGGAACCAGCTGGTCTATTTACAAAAAACACGGTTTCGCGTAATGAGATATCGGTCGGATCGTCGCGAATTATCGTTCCCTCCCCCTCGAGTGTATTCCAATTTCCGTAAATAATGCGCTAAAAAAAAAAATCAACGCACGCACGATTGCGTGTCGCGGCATTATTATGCCATTTCTAAATGTTGAGCGAGGAAATGGTTTAAGTGACAAGGTCGAGCCGGCGATTTCCAATGCTACTCGCGATGCGCAAAAGTAAACAAAAGCCCGCGCAACGACGGCCGTCGCTTTATTATATCTAATCCCCGTCGTCGCCCTATCGTTCTTAATCTTCGCACATAGCTGCGACGACCTTGGCTCGTCGATTGGCGGCTAGAGGCTGAATCGAATCGGCGACAAGCCAAAGGAAACGCACAAGAGCTTCTTCGTGCGTTTCCTTCTGACGTCTCGAGATCAATAACGGCGGTACCTCGCCGAAAATTGACGCTGGTCACACGAGCTTCGAGGCTGCACGTTGAGCGAAACCGACAAATTCGTCGCATCATCATTGAGTCGCACTAAATATTTTCGAGATTAATTAGACGCAGATCAAGAGTTTCACGAAGTAGAAATTACTTTCACTATGTTTACTTCGCTTAAAGTCCTGACATACTTGTTGATATGTATTTTACTAGATCCAGAGAGAATATTAGTTATAATAAACATATAAAATTTATTTTTTATTGGAAAGCGATTGGTTGTGGAAAATTTATAAACTTTTTGGATATGGCACGCCTAATTGTTTGACAAATTGGCAAATAAAGTGGAAATTTGAAAATACAAAATTATATCTCTCACGATATTCTCGTTGAAATAAAATATGTGACGCGCGTGCCTTTTGTACGTATGTATGTACATGTTTATACAAGCTTACTGTTACCGACAAAAACAAGAATACGCTTCTTGAAGTATAGATCTAAAAATATACGTGACGTAATAGCAGCTTTATGCTGTTGCTCTTTCTATGAAACATATTTGTATCGCCATGAATAATTGCGTAAATGACAAGACATTGGATTTCAGTTATTTTCTTTTTATTACTTTGTAATTCAGTATCATTCGAGGAATGAACGAATTACGCTAGAAGACAATGGTATAAATAACGTGAAAAGACGAAGATGTAGAGAAAGTGAAAATTATAAAAGAATTTTATCAGTTTTCCAACGACGTGAGATATAGCTCGAACCGAGTCTTAAGAACTTAAGATTAGTTTACATCATATGGCGCTTACTTAATGCTTTTTTTATCTTATCGGTGATCCCTTTCGTTATCTTACAGGCGATCCGCATCGTATTCTTTTAATTCTTATGTACACGCACACACGCATGTCGGAGTTCCTTATGAGAATGCTTCTGAAAAAGATTAATCGCTAAATCACTCGCGGTATAAAAACTACAAATGTATATAAGAACTATTTTCTTCCACAGAACTGGTATATAAGCGGAAAGTTAGTCTAGCACACACTGTGGCAACCTTATAAATATATGTATATACTGTTGTTACATCTGTAGTGCATCTAATTACGTACGTGATTATAAAAAGTTGTTGGCGTCGTTAAAATCGGGAACTTGCACAGATAAATAGTGTAATAAATTACGTATATAACACACTTTAATGTCATCCTAGTGAATAACGATCTACGCGCGGAACCGGAAGGACGGGTTCCTCTTAAGGATTCCGATTATAGCTTACGTAAAGAAACAATTGTCGGATCAAGTCCAACGTGATCGTAGAAATGAGTCGATTATTATTTTTGTGCAAACCTTAACAATTTTAATAATTTTAAAATTGCGTATAACGTGTATTCGCGAACACTCGTTCGTATATAAACATATATACATGCGTACAAGTAGACAATTCATTCTCAACAAAAGTGGACAGTCCGCAGATGAGTATACTATTTCGAAAGGAAAAGTACATAATTTCCTTTTAACGCTCACACTCTCCCCGAGATTTACGCAATTAATCTTGTTATAATATTCAACATCGTAATCTTTAACACGTCTTAGATATTACATGGAAGATGTTAGTTAAAATTGACAACATTCTGTTATCTCAAAATGTATAAATTTGTTAAAGGATTATTCTAGTAAACTCGTTAATTGAAGAGCTGACTAAGATATTGTATTTTAATCAATGATATCTATTAAACCGGATTATCATGGATATTAATAAGTTCTTATAATTTATAACTTAAATTTACCACTTCCTAGCTCGTACTCAGAATTTCAGGTATAAAAAAATGTTCAAAATATTATAAAACGTTTAAAATGTTATAAAATTCGATATGTATTAACTGAGTTTCAAAATTACAAATATCCAATTATGCGCATTACTTGTACGTAATTATTGTTTAGTAATAAAACAATAGAAGAAACAAAACAATTTCTTAAATTATGGTGAATTAAATAAGGAATTATTGTAATCAAATACAATGTATATTACTGTATAATGAAACGAAATAAATATGCTTGGAAATTGTACAAATTCAACCTGAATCCTTGGGGCGCTAGCTATGCTTGATTAGCTCGTCTGCTTCGACGAGAAGAACTTGAAAATAACGGACGTGGTTTATATAAATCATCGCTTGAGTATCGTTGATGACTGGTCCTAATACGGCTGCAATTTAAAGGAATAATAATGTTAGTAATGTTAGACGGAACTGACTCCTCCTCGAATTACATTCGAGAAAATATTTATTTAGAATAATACAGTCAATCCGCGCGTTTATAGAACAGGTACAAAGCATGTATAAAAACAACGACGAAACGATAACGAGATACATGTGGAACCCTGTACTATGTAAAAATCTCGGAAACAAGTAACGTACCTCTTCTCTTCTTTGATCACGTTAGACGACGCCGTTTTATCGCTCGTCGCGGACACGTCGCTGTCGGGGCTCAGAGGCATGACAAAGTTCTCGCCATTCGAGATCCCTTGGGTATTACACAAATTCGAGAATCTCGGTTTCTTGGTGAATTTCCTCTTCTTAACGTTATGTACCGCGTTTTCGTTGGGCAAAGACGACAATTTTTGCTTATGACCGTCATTATTGTTGTCTGAATTATTCATCAGTATGTCCGACAAGGGACTGGACGAACGTTTGCGCGATTTCGGCAACGGCGGTGCCATGGACTTCGGTATCGAAGAAACCACCTTGCCGCCTAGACTCTCTATTATATCCTCCAAAGACGAGTTCTCCACAAGTTCTAAAGATTCCAAGAAATTGGAAAACCTTTCTGACTTCTCGTTGTCAGTCTTGAAGTAACGGCAATCCTCGTTATCCTCGTTGATCGCGGAGGACGAAGATTTATTTCCCATACAATCGGCATGCGACTCTATTGTGTCAGCTTTGGATGACGTACGCGTTTCTATTTGCTTTTCATTCAATGATTCTTTATTATCGTCTGGTATTTCCAATGTAACATCATTCTTCCTTTCTTCATTATCATCCTGTGTTTCCGCTCGATTACAATCCCGTGTCGCTGTATTCACTTCCGTCGATTGTTTTACGTTTTTATTCTCATTATGGCTCAGAGATTCTGATTTTTCTGAGGCTGCAGCTTCTCCCAGCTCCTGCGAAATACGCGTTTCCTTTGCTTGTAGAGATTTTTCTTCGTCAAGAATCGTACGTTTTGTCTCATTTTTGGAAGCTTCCTCCGAGTCGTCCTTATGTGTCTCTTTAGAGGCTTGCGAATCTTTTTTACCTTCAACGTGCAAATCTTTATGTTTCCTGTCAGAATCTTGTGTAGCCTGTGCTGCGCTTGATGGCACATCTGACACCACTCCGCTTGAAGATTGCCTTGTACACAATTCCTTTAGGAGGTCGTTTGCACAAGACTCGGCTCCTGGCATTATTATCGATCTCTCGTCCAACATTAAACGGGGCTCGTGCTTCTCAGGGTAAGGTTCTTCGTACTCCTCGTCAGGGATCTCTATAATTTGAACCCGTTCGTCGTCCGGCACGCCCTCGAGGTTATCGAGATTATTCTTCGTATTCGATTGACTCGCTTGATCCGCTTCCTGTGCAACTTTCTTCTCTACTTTCTTATCCTCCTTAAGTTTCTGCTTCTCCATCTGTTTTCTGATTTTCATCAGTTTCTTAGCTTCGTGTATGTTTTTCGCGAATTTCGGTTTCTTGAGCTTCACGTCGGGACTCGATTCACCGTCTTTATCCGGCAGCAGCCTCTTCTTCAGCGGCAAGTTCGTGTCACATGGATTTGCGCTTTTTTCTTCTTCTTTTTCTTTTTCTTCCTGTCTATCGTATGCCTCGTTGCTATTATCGGTCTCCATCTTCGAATGGCTCTTTTCATTTGTCGGTAGTTGCGAACTGATTTTCTGAGATAATTTACAATTCGACTGATGCGATGTCTTCGAATCACTCACTTGCGTTTCCTCGATACTATCCGACGTTTCGCTGCTAGAATTACTTACATGATTGTCCTTCGTCAAATTCGACGTACCCGACTTGGTGCTCGTTACGTTAGAATTCGAATTGCTGGGCGGTAGGGTTTTATTATTCGAGCCGTTCGAACCGTCTCTGTCGGTAGAACGCCGATCGTTCGAGTTTTTCCGTAAACTCGAATGATCGTCTTTCGTCTTGGATTTTTTGTCTTCTCTACGCTTTTTATCCTTGGACGGACCGTCGGTTTTTGACTCCTTTCTGTCCGACTTCTCGACGCGACCTGAATTCTTGCCCTGTTGCAAGTGGCTCTTCGCGTCCTTTTTACTGTTCGTCGTTTTCTCGATGCTCGCCTTGACATCCTTTTTCGCGTCCACCTTCCCGCTCTTATCTTCTTTCTCATTCTTGGAAATCTTCTTCGAATCTGACTTGTCAGATTTGTCCGATAAATCTGATTTGCTACTGTAATGACTTTTACCTTTACTATCTTTCGACAATCGCTTCTCATCTCGTTTTGCTTTGTCTTTTGAATCAGATCGTTTATCTTTTCCATCCACAATCTTTTCCGACGTTTTGCTGCTTCTACTTTCATGATAACTTATAGAAGGATTTTTCGATGACGATGACGACGACGACGAACTTTTGTGCTCTTTCTTATTTGATTTTTTATCTTTAAGAGGATCCTTTCTGTCCTTAGTATCTTTAATAAGTTTAACATCTTTATCCTTATTTAATTTTTCTTTCTCCGTCAATTCTATCTTTTCCCGAAGTTCTATAATTTTTTTAATTTTTTCTTTGTACATATCTTTCAAATCTTTCACTTCTTTATTAACGTTATCCTTATCTTTCCTCTCTATTTCCTTAAGCTTCTCGTCTTTGAGTTTGTTGACGTTATCCTTCAAATTTTCTGAAATATCTGTAATTTTGTCAGAACTTTCTCTCGCCTGGTCAATTTTATCTTTAGGTTTACTTTTACTGTGTTTGTCGTACTTCTCACTGCTGTGTTTATCATATTTCTCACTACTCGGTCTCTTTCTCTCGTTACTTTTATCTTTGTAATATTTTACATCCTTACTGGCAGATTTTTCCTTTGTGCTTTTCAACAATTTAGTGGACTCGCTATCCTTGCTCTTCTCTTTGCTCTTATGATCATACTTATCTTTAATACTACTATCCGCGGCGTCGCGAGAATTTTCTTTAGAAGATACACTTTTAGTACTCTTGAAATCTTTCGTATCTTTATAATCTTGCACATCTTTACCTTTAACAAAGTCAAAACTGCTCTTAGTCGTCTTGTTCTTAGACGAATCCTCTCTGATCGCCTTGAAATTATCCTTACTGCTTTTAGCCTCGTACTTGTCCTTCGTTGTTTCATCTCTCGATGAATCGTGTACCGGTGTTAAAGCGTGATTAGAGGAACCGAAGTCCGTCACTATCGACAACCGGGAATCCGAGGAAACTTTGCTGAGCTGAGAATCTTGATTGCTATACTCGAAGTTATCCCGCGACAATTCGTTCGAAAAATCTGGGCTTCTAGATCTGTGACTCGTTAATTCCGATATTCCCGACAAATGAGAATCGTTGGAAATGTTGGATTCATTTAAGTTCATGATATCAATAGGCTCAAACGTTGGACTGACCTCTTCCTCTTCCTCGTCCACTTTATCATCCGATTTCGCAGATGTGTTTAAGTTTGAATTACTTCCATTCTTACTTAGAATTTTATAGGCATCATCCGATGTTTTCTCTTCCAAGGAAATGTGCCCGTTTTCAGAACTAGCTCTGTTTTTATCTCTGTACGTCTCCTCGTCTTGTGGCCTCTGCTCGTCGACTTTTTCATCCTGCTTTCTGTCAAAATCATTTATGTCGTTTATATCTAAGGATTCAAGAGATTCGTCCTTCAAGCTGTTTTTGTCGGACTCGGGCGAGACCGGATCCAAATCTTTAGGCAACAAATCTTTAAGACCGCAACCACCGTTCTTCTCTTTTGCCTTTGGCCTCTCTATACCCAGAAATTTGTACACTACATCTTCTATCTGTGACATAAAAACCGAATAGACCTTGGGATTCACCACTTGATCCACTATCCGCTCCACGCCAGCATCTAGATACGGTGCGTCGTGTATGTGCTTGCGCAAAGTTTCCCTGAGCTGATTCTTGTTCAAATCTGGTTTCCATACTTGCTTACTAAGAAAAGAGTTTACGGAACCTTCAACCCTTGTCCTCAGATTTTGATACGCAGGCTGAAATTGTACGTGTGCCATTAGACATTACATTAGTACATAAGATTTATTAAATGAGCTACAGTTTTCATGTAATGACACATATATTGCAATTTTGCACATTGACTCTAAAAATAGTACAGCAAAATGTCAAGGTTTCCAGAATCAAAATTTTGTTAAAAAAAATATATAAGACTCATTAAAAATCTTTTACATAAAGTATTATAAAACTGCATATCGCATAAGTATCTACCTTGTCAAAATAATAACAGCAATCAAGATTTCTCATGTTCAAACTAATCGCGTCTAACCTCTAAACCAAAGATAAAGGTCCGATTCTTTTTTTAGCGAAGAGCTCGCTGTCAGGAATCAGCCGCGAGAATTACCTTCGTATCGACATCGGCGATGCATTCCTTCCGGAACTGATCGAAAATACCTTGGGACTTAACTTCGCCCACTATGTGATCGATCAATCGTGGATCACCGGCCAGCAGCGTGTTGGACAGGCCTAACTCCATGTCGCTGGGACGAACGCCAGTTGCCGAAGGTCAGACTTAACACGTCACGAAACGAGGAAGACGATCATCCTGACCGATCCAACACTGGCAGGCGGACTCCCGTTCCCGTCAATCCCGTCAAGGAGCACGCACCGCAGCCATCACGGCCATATTTCCTCGCGCTTCGTGCGCTTTCAGCTTTGTGCGCATTTGCTAATAATCGCTCGCAGAAAAATTTGATAGTCGCATGAATATCGGTAAATATACGAAGATATTTCGTATCTCTCTCGTGAATATTTAGATTTCCTCGATTTAATTTAACCTGAAAAAAGAAATACATGTATACACTCTCCTATATATTGAACAAAAATTGATGTATATTTAGAAAATTGCAAATTGCGTAAAATGAAATATAAATGGAAGTAATAGTGTTATAAATAACAATGGAAAATGTAGGAAAAGTGTAGTATAGAAAAAGTGAGTTTAAAACTGAATTTTTAATTATGCTACCTCCTATATAGCTGTCTCATTATGCCTGATATTTTATAAATTTCTGAGACTGCATTATAATGCGGTTATAATTGTCAGACGTAGAATGTAGAATCTCGGAAATTTTTAGGATAAATCTAGAACGATTCTCGCAATATCAATTAAATCACTGAAATGCCGTCTCTCAGCTGATCGAATATACCTTTGTCGCGGTTTCGAACATAAACTGCCGATAATTTTATACCAAATATACATCAATGGTCGATAAAGTCGCTAGTAACATTATCGACCGACTTATTAGTGACTTTATCGACGGTAAACTAATTGTCTTTCTCGTTCTCGCCTCGCTCAAATGACGAAACAAATGGCGTCGCGCGAGTTCAAAACACGTTTTACGAGCGAAGCTTTTCGACGAAATAAACTTCATTAGTGAAAGGTAACGTATACGCGCCCTTAAATTCCTTCCTCGGATTTAGTTGATATTAGAATTCGCGGCAGGAGGAAAGAGAAATTCGCGATTTCATTCAAAATCAGCTCTGATTCATGTGCCATATATATCACCGCTCCCGATCGTGGGCGTCCATGCGTCCATGCGCGCATTACGTTTACATCAGCTGATCGCGTGATACGCGTGCAATCGTCCGATTCTCATTCACGGTAGCTGAATCGCGAGCGAGGGAATCCTATTCGAGCATTCGTAGAGAGGTGAGTTACCGTTATCACATTTGGATCGCGTTTACAACCGCGTTACACGAGAGGTTATGTTGATAGTGACTTTACGTAGCCCGAAGTCCGGAAATGCTCTCTCGCGTGTCGCGTGACTCGATTGTATTTCCAATCTCATCTGATGCGCACGGTAACACGAGTTACGTGCTAATAACAGTTTGGTTGGAAAAGGTTCATTGTATTATGAGAGAAATTACAGAAATTACGTTTGACTAACTTTCTCCTTTCGAGGAAGACATGGGGCGGTATTCGAGTCGGATTTTATTTCAAGACCGCCTTCTCAAGTTGCTGATACGGTCATTTGATTGGCTGGACGGAGTCTTAAGTCCTAAGAGTCCGGACTGCTTTTGACCAGACTTAAAGATGATCTTCGATATAAGATCCGACTATGAATACCGCCCATGGATTCGGACGTAATCACCATGATTTACCGAAATTTGTGAACGGTATTCTCCCTCAGTCAGAAAATATTGATAGCATATTTTAATACATTAATTGTGTATATATTTGTTATAATTGATTATAATTTTACTAATTAATTACGTATCTATTCAATATACTTACATATTCCAGTATACGTCTATACTATAATAAAATTCATTACCTAAAATAAAATAATGAAATAATAATAAGATTAACTAGTGATTATCGGAGTAAGTAAGAGATTTTTGAAGAAGTTAGTTTAAAAATTTTGAAGACTGAAGCATGTATATTTGTCATTAGACTTAACACTTAACCACGTCTATTGATCCTACTTACATACATAAATATCTACACCGAAAAAAAATGACGTTTTAACAGATATTGTATTATTAACATTAGTCTCTAATTGCATATGATCTTGTTAAGTTTCAACACGTTTTTAATGTTATTTTACGAACATGCATTTTCTATTAATGGAATTGCATCACAAGTGCTTTGATATGCTTGATACCTAATCATTTATGCTACGCGCAGCAGTAGCCATTTTTACGTTTAGTTGTTACAAGAAGGTAGTTGTCGCATTCGCATACGCCATACATTCATGTTTTTTTTTTTTAATTAAGTATTATAAATTAATACCTAGTTAAGCTCCAAAAAAATAGAATTACAAATCAATACTGAGTTGAGTTGAAAAAATACTGGAAGCTTATTTTTCATAAACGTTATATATTGCAACAAATCAAGCAATGTAAATATTTGAAAAAAAAATTCTATATTTTCCTGCGTTATATACGCTTTCTCGTCTCGCTCCGTTCTATCGCTTATTTCAGATAATCAAGTTTTTATTTATCTGCTTGTTCTTAAATTCATGACAACACACGGAAAATCTACTAAACCGCTAAATTTAACCTAAGCAGATCATAAAACAGGCAAATTATACAATTACGTTAATGAGAGATTTTTTATTTCATAACGTATCCATTTCAATCGATTTGCACTAATTACACTTGATTATCCTTGTCATCTTATTAAGAACGATCGAACTCGTGTTTCCTTTTCATGTGCTATGAAGGAACATATATATCCGCAATTTTTTCAGTAGAAGCAATTACAAAGAAACATTAGTATCCATTTGTAAAATTGCCCTTTATAAACATACTTGTGCGTAATAGCTTTTTTTTGTCATGCCTACGTTGCAAAGTAACAACAAAGATAGTTATTTCTTACTATTCCTATGTATGCGTAACATGTTATTACTACGCATTCGTGGATCGCAAGAATTACGATTTCGTTACTGATAAAAACGCGAGGAAAAAGTTGTTTCGAATGGCACGCAAAAAGGTCGTTCTATATTAGTCGCAAGCAATCCATATTGTCGTAAGTCGCAAGAGGCTTGCAATTTGAGCTCTTACACTGCAGTCGTACCTAAGTCATAACCAATCAAAGAACAGATTTGTCGTAAAAATGTCGTTATCAATATGTCCTAAGCAAGCAGAATTGCTAATAGTATAAGTAAGTAGTATTGCTTTCTTTGCAAGCATCAGTATACCACATCCGGTTGTAACGTAGTCGCAAATAGCAATCACAAGGTTTGACCAAATCTAAAATTTGCGTCTCTGCGATATGTGACAGGCAATATGAGCATCGAGCTCCGTTGTCTATTTGACTTGCTCGTTCGTTTCGTGTTTTATTGTAACCCGTAAAGATATTGATAAGTTAAAAAATTGTATTTTAATAATAAGTGACTTGGAATGGAGAAAAGATGAATCTCTGGACGTGAACGTTCATGAAGATGATGGCAAAGACGTAAATTTTGGATTTGATCAAATCTTGTAATTGCTATATGGGACAGGAAGTGGTACTGCTTGCGTTCGTGCGTTGGGTACTTGCGACTAATGTAGAACGACTTTAACAGGCGCGTTATGTGCGTGTATATTTACCCAAACAAACGATTCCTGATCAACATTGCGCGATATTAGCGTAAAATCGACGTTTCATACGCGACGAAGCTAGTATATCTCGCATAAATCACAGATATAGCCAGATGTAGCCTTCCCGGACGGTCGGGGCCGGTCCGCGATTTTAATGCACATTCGCAAATTGGCGCACAATGAGGACCGTTATAAAACGCCTAATGGCTTTCAATGGGATTAATTCACGGGCTCGCGCGGCACGGAACAGGCCGTCGCGATAGGTACGTCGGATCTCGTCCAGCATTTTCTAAGTAGAGTCCGAAGCTGGACAAGGCAGCGTCCTTGCGCGTACAATCGACGAAACAAAAATAGACTTCGATCGTGTACACGCGCCTCGTACTAAATTAATTTAATAATTTCGATCGATATTAACGATTTTACTATTAGAGAAACATTAACCTTAAATTTCTGAAACAACTTTATTTACGTAGTTTCTTGAAATGTCCATTTCTACCAATGCGGATTAACTTTAATTTTGGTTCAATTTACTTTTTATCTTTTTCTAATTTCTAATATTAGAAAAGGATAAAAAGTAAGTTAAACCGCGTATAAAGTTAATCGGCATTGGTAGAAATGGACATTAGTGGAGTTCGTAGCGAATATTGGATATAAGTGCTGTATTATTATTTTATGAGTGTTATCCCATGGATTTGGGGAACGTTACCTCTAAATTTATAGGGTAATATTGATAAAAATAATAATACATTTTTGCAAAATTTGCAAAATTGTAAAATGTAAAGTACAAAAGCTTTTTATTATCGTTCATATTTAAAAATATTAGCAAATTAATATTTTAAATATTAGTTAAAAAAAGTAAATTGTTATAATTAAAAAGTAAAACTAATATTTTATCTTGTATTTATTATAACAAAAAGAAATAATGTTACAATTAGGAGAACATACATTTTTTTTATATTTCTGTGACTTTCATACACAAATTTATTGCATTTTATTTTCGCATAACGCGAGACGCCCACTTATCTAAATATAAGATAAATGTTATATAAATACACGCACTGGGAATATCTTCATACATAATCACCATATACATAATTACCAATTCCTAATGTTAAAGAAATATTAATCAAAATTATACCAGTGGAGTGTCTACCCTATTTAGGAATACGATATTTTTGAGAAAGGACCTTCAGATAGATACACTTTTGTTATCCTGCTCTCTCTCTCTTTCTTTCTCTCTCTCTCTCTCTCTCTTTCTCTTTTAAATTCAGTAGAGACTTAGGTATAGTGGGACGTCATCTCAACGCTTTTGTATCTATACATTCTCGCGCATTCTCTTCGTTAATCGCAATAAACACGCGGTTGTTTAGTGGTGTATCATCGGGAACAGCGGCAATTAAAAGCACGCTTCTGTCGCAAGTACTGGTGTAACCCGATTGGTCGTGTCCGAGTAACGCGATTCTGCCGCGATTAAAAACATGAAACGTCACCGTTCGGTTCCTCTTCGTCTCCTCTTTTATTCCTCGGGACCTCCGAGCGCGTCGTGGCGCAAAATAACGGCTCGAGAACTATAAAGTTCTCGATTCCATGATACCGGAAACCGGAACTCCGGGGGAATCGCGTAGAAACGCATTGTAGATCACGAGTGCATCATCGACCTTCTTCTCG